AGTCTTCCTTGGTTGACTAAGGTGGCGGCTGGTCTGATGGTTACTTTACCACTGAGTTGGGACCAGGTTAGCTCACAGTGGCAGTGACTCATCTCCTCATTTATCTCATCAATCAGCTGATTCTTTTTCTGTAAGAACTTCCATAAGGGAAGATCCAGGGATTCTTCGAACGGTGCGGGAAGCTTGATCACAGGCTTCTCTTTTCCATACAAGGCTGTGCCCAGTGAGGCATAGTATGGGAACACAGAAAGTGGCATCTTGTTGAAGTCAAGTTTCTTGGCCATAATGGAGTCTAACACTTAAAAGGAAAGATAATAAACATAAAGTAAGGCCAGTGTCATGCTTCAAGTGAAAACAGAACAAAACTATCCTACTCTAGAAAAAAAGTCTTAATGTTCGTAGAATGTTGATGTTACAAATATCATTGAAAACCAAAGTGCTCAAATATAAATGGACATGTGCTAACAATGCATGGGTGTCCCTTATTGAGTGGAATTATTACTTTCTAGCCAAAATCACTCTATCTTGGAATCCTGTTAAAGTCTATTCTCTATGTTTCTGATATCAATGATAGATCACCACCATGTTACGATATAGATGAGAGTGGTGACGAGCATGGAGAAAATGTTTGCCCCAGTGCAAAAAAATAATTTGGTGCTCAAAGTGAAGCTCGGCTAAGTATTATGCTGTTTGTCCGTTTTTCTACACTCCTACAATTTTAGGCTTCACACTTGACTTAGATTCCATTAATACCTCTAAGAGGAGGAAAATAATAAATTATTGTGGCTTATCAAGTGTCAGACACTATTCTAAGTGCTTTAAATATATTAAATTCATTTCATCCTCACAACAACTATTTAATATCATCCCTATCTACAAATGAGAAAACTGAAGCTAGTAAAGGCTAGATAACTTGAACAGGGTTACACACACTGCAAATACCTGAGCTAAAATGCAGTGTCTCCTTAAAGCCCATCCTCTTCTTCCTCTACCCAACCCACGTCATCTTCACAGCTCTCTGAGCCCGAGCAACTGTGCTTCAGTAGGACCCTCACCTCTTCCAGCTCTTGCCACTTTAACCGGACAGTCCCTTGGGGGTATTTGTGTGAAACTACGTGTGTGAGTGTGTGTAGGAGAGTGTGTGAGCTTGCGCACATGAATATGTGCGTGTCTGTGTGAGAGAATATGTGTGTATGAGTGTGGGGGCATGAACGTGCGTGAGAGCCTGAATGTGTTTGTGTGAGTATGTGAGAGTGTGCTTGTGTGTGAGCATGTGAAAGTGTGTGTGTGTGTTCTCGTGCTTTCCCCTTCCGAGCCTCTCCTTATTGTGTGTACACTGTCAGGCAGGTGCAAGGTGTGGCAGCAGAAAGGGAATCAGAATAAACTCTAATTTTGACCTGAATAAAAATGTATTCTTCAGAGAGATGTTACAAACAGCTTCACCTTGAGCGTGATTGGATCAAGGTAGCAGCTGGCATCAGACAGAATGGTAAGCCCCAACACGTATCTTCAACATCCCAACATGGCTGTGTGGACGCTCTGAACCTGATCTGTACCAGGGACCGCTGACATGTTCCAGGCATCACCACATGCCACGCACTTCGCAGCTGTTCTGTCATTTCATCCTCACAGTCCTCTCAGCTAAGTAGGAATGTGAGCCCCATTTTTAAAATTTTACATTATTACAGGGGTACAAATGTTTTGGTTACATGAATCGCTCTTCTCCAGCTTGAGTCAAAGTAACAAGTGTACCCATCACCCAGACAGTGTGCATGCAGCCCCATTACAGATGAGGAAACAGAAGCTTCCGTGGGATAAAGTAACTTCTCCAAGACCCAAAGCTAGTTAAGCACCAAAGCCAGGTTTCAATCTCAAGTTTGTCTGCCCCAAGACCCATCACAGATGTCACCATAATATGTCTCAAAGTTTCCATCCTGTTTCCTCAGCTGTGAAGACAAAGTGACTATATCTAACTGTGCAGGCTTTTAAGAGGATCCTGAAACACTGTGGTGGAAAACACAACAAATGACCTCAAGACAGTAGGTATTCAATAAGAGTTCTCTTCCTTAACAAATACATCAGATTTGAGAAGTTGAACTAAATAATTTCAGAGTAAAGTGCCCAATTGATTCCCCTAAGTAATCTACATAAAACACAGTATCACTAAACAAACTCTGTTTTTACTCAAGCTCTACCTACAGTTGGCCTCATTTTTGGTGACCCATTGTAAGTGATGTAATTTACTGCAAGAAAAAGGATGTCATAGGTGAACAGGAGATGCGAGAAAAGGAGAGAAGCTAAAGGTCTAAATTGTCAGACCAGACTATCCAGGGTCAAGCCTGGCTCTGTCACTCGCCAGCCATGTAATCTTGGGCAAATTTCTAACCTTTCTGTGATTGACTTTCCTCTGAAATCAGTAAAACAGGGATTACAATAACCAAGACAATGTCCGTGAATGTTTCTGCTAACACTGTGGAGTTATGCAAGGGTAAGTTATAATTCTAGGAAGGAGAAGCCAGACAGTGAAAAAGAAAACCAGTGTATCTCAGACTGTGGAGAACAGGAAATGAGCAAGTGTAGAAGAGGAGGTGTGAGCCCCAGGGTCAGATGGAGCAAACAGGTCAGGGAGAAAGGGAGCCTTTGACAGTGCCCAGTCCAGTTGACATGTAGAGCAATGGCATAAAATAAGCCTCAATTCAACAGTACGTATTATTAG